AAAAAAAAAAAAAGTTACCTTTCTTTGTTTTCAGAACTGGCTTTTCCTTTGGTGGGATAAAAGCTTTATTTCTTTCTTCTTGTCTTTTCTTGACTGCATCTGCTTGCTTTGCCTAAAGTTACCAATAAAAAGGACTAGTATCAGTAAAGCAGGGCAAAAGGTACAAAACTCAAAAATTCCAAGTCAGCAAATACTTTTTAAGTGTAAACTGCATAGTGGGTTAGAACAACTTTACCTTTATCTCTTCCATTCGCTTCCGTTTTTTCTGTCTTTCTTTCAAGAAGTATTCACCACTTGCTAATTCTTTATCAACCTGCATTAGACAAGTACCGAGAAGCCTTAGATAATTACTCATTGTAAGCCAGGTGTACAGCATCAGGAATGCAGAACTTGACAGAAAAATATAAGCTTAATCCCTCTATCTCCCAGCCTCTTGTTAGCAACAGCAAGATTTGTAGTTGTGCTATATTCCTGCAAAACCACATAAAGTTTCAGCTGACCTGGCTTTCTGGCTGTGGAGGCGGGAACGGCGTGTACTCCTTCTTAGTATTTTTCTTCTTTGGCTCCTTGCGTTTTTTCAAGTTCTTCCGCTTGAACTTAGGCAAAAATCTTTCCCAACTTTGTGACCTCAGTTCAGGATCTTTTGACAATTCCCTTTTGATCATCAAAGTCTTCAGTAGGTTTAGGATGTCACAAAGAAGTCGTTAAAAAAATAGTATTACAGTAGTAGCCAAGAGCTCCAAACTACAAGTTTCACTAAAATTTCTTAAAGTGAATATGCTACATCCAAGACTTTCATTTCTCATCCAGGTAAGAGCAGAGGTGTTTAATTATGAAAAGCAGAACCAGAAAGAAATTTTGTCTCAAAACAGGGACAAAATGCACTGGAGAAGATGCTCCAGTTCAAATGAGCAAGTATCAAGCAAACAATCACAGGAAGGAAAGTTTGTACACATTCTTCCTTCGATGTTTTCTCAGATACTATTAATGATATTATGGCAATATATCATGGTACAAGGGAGGATATCAAAGCAAGGGTCTTTTAAAGCAGCACACTACAGAAATTCTCAGAACTTGATTACCACACAGAAAGACGTAATTTATCAAAATACAACTCTCTGGTAAGAAATAGTACTTTCTTGTAAAGAAAGATGCACTGTGGACCACGCTAACCTTAATGTTGTATATGGGATGTATATTCTTCATTGTGTCCAGAACAACTTTTCTAACCTGCATTTAATAAAAAAAGAACAGAAAACTCAGCAGGTATTTCGCATTCTAATCAATAAAAATACCAGGTATACTATCTTGCTTCCACTCCCCATCCTTGCCTCCCCAAAGTAGGCAGATTTAAAAAGCTCACACACATGGTTAGCTGGAAGGCACAGAACTTCAGAAACGCCAATAATACTGTCACATTTCTAATAACTCCAGCACGCCCCGCAAACATTACTTTCATGTTACCATGGATTTTATGGTGTCATTAAAACCTTGCTTTTGAACACTCTTCTCCTACACAGTTGCGAAAAATGTATTAGATATTCCTTAAGGAAAATATATGATTAAATCAGCAGTATTTTCACTCTCACCTCTTATTCATTACTACAAACATTCTTGCTAAAAACCAACAGCCCTTCTCAAATACTTTTATTTCCAAGACAGAAAGATTTCAG